ACGAAACGTTCCATCACTTTGCAAACGCACTAGTAAGAGCGATGGGGCGAAAGTGGGAGGAAACTTTCCCTGTAGTACCCGGTTGCGGAAAGGGAAAACAATGGCAGATTTCCACAGCGGGGGAAGAACCCCTTTGTGCCCAAAAAATTGAAGAGGTGTAAAGGACTACAATGGCTGACCGATGTAAATGTTTAACAAACAAAATATGAATGTCGCCCGGGCCCCAGCGCCGAAAACGGCAACTGAAAAGGTTGCCCCCAGTTTTTTCCCTTGAAAAGAAAAGCCCAAAGGGTACTAACTCCCTGGAAAATTTTGGGGAAAGAAACGGGGGGCATAGATGGACCCCCGGGAAAAATCCCGGACCAGTGGGGGTGCCAATTTTTAAAGGGCAACGTAAAATTTTTTTTGGGCAATCAACACCACACCCGCAAAAACAGGAGCCGGGCCGGGAGAGTTTTTAAACCACTAAAATTTCCCCCCTTTTTTTCCCAACTGCACTCAAAGGAGAAGCAGAGGTGATGGGGGAAAAACCATAGTCTTCCCAAAACAATTTTTGGGTTTCACGGATGACAGGGCGGGGCGATCGCATGTTTTTCTGCAAAAAAATCAAAAAGTCTCTCAGGGGTTTCTATTGTACCGGTCCCTTTGCCCCATGCGGGCACGTTTAAAACCCGTACGGCACGGCAAAAAGCAGGAGACCACCAAGGCACGCACTTCAAAAATTCCAGCCTGGGTTTGGGGAAATAAAATTTGTAATTTTTGCGGTTTTTAAACAAAAACGCCGGAGAAGATGTTTGGGAAGCCATCAAGGGGAAGGGGAAAGAAAAAAACCCCCACAAAAAGCAGTGAGAGTGAGAAAAGATCCCAATTTCCCCAAAATAAAATTGCCAGCGGGGCTACGGAAAGGTGGTAAAATGGGAAAGGAGAAGTAAAAATGATGGGGAAATAAACGCTGTCATGAAAGTCTGGTAGAACAACCGGGGTGAAGTCTATTTGCAGTGGAGGAGGACAGACTGAAAAGATAAATGCAAAGAGATATGAAAAAGGGGAATAAAAATGGGGGGAAAACCCCAAAATTTAAAACATGGGGGGGTGAGAGGCGAGAAAACCCAAACCACTGAATCCCCAGGGGAAAATCACAATGAGCCCCCCACCCCCCAGGGGAAAAAGGTTTTGGCATTAAAATCCCCAAGAAAACAGAAGTGGGGTTTGGTAAGGATGAAACAAAAAAAAGGCAAAGTCTGGGATAGAAAATGCTCGAAAGGAAGAGATATAAAGAACAAAATTGAAACCACTTTTTCAAGTGGATACGGGCTGCAGTTTTAAATGCAGTGAGGTATGGACAAATAGTACAGTACGGAAAAATCATTGCAAAGAAGAAGGGCACTTTCCCTTAAAGGGTTCCCATCTGAAAAAAGGATCCGAAAATACAAAAAATTTTTACCCTGAGATGGGGTTGGAAAACAGCCGAGTGTAATTTTGGTTCTTGTAAGAAAGCCCCAAACAGGGGAAAACCCGGAAAGCAAATCTAAAGCCACCCCGTTTAACCCGAGGCCACGGATATTCCACTGTTAAATAGGCCATGTTTTGGGGGATGAAAAAATATCGGGAATCTTAGGAAAAGGGCCCACCTCAAACAAGGGGTTAAAAAGCCCAAACGTGGGGGTGGCATTGGAAGACGTTCAAGTAGCAAAGGAACGGCGTTTCGAAGAATGGGGGGTGAAGATGGAGGGGGAGGGGGAAAAGAAGGAACAGGAATTTAAACAGTCCCCTTTAAGGAATTTTGTCTCTGCAATAAAATTTTGAAATTCTTTTTAAGTGTTTTCTGAATTCAAAGATGTAAGGAGAAACCAAAAATTTGGGGATAGAAGGGGAGGGGGAGTAAAGATTGGACAGAAAAAGGACTGAAACCCAAATTTAAAAGGGGGGGGGAAGATTTTAAGGGACTGGAGATGAAGTGGGTTTTTTTGGGGGGGGCAAAGAGGGCAGACACCTGGAGGGGGCCCGAAGAGGGGGAAACTTGGGGGGGGAAAGGGGGGGGAAAGGGATAGTAAAAGAGGAGGTGGGTCCCACACTTTTAATAGAGCCAGAAAGAGGGGGAAACTAGGTCCCCCAAATGGAAAGGGGAAAGTGTTTGGGGTGGAAGAAGGGAAAAAAGGGGCAAAGAAGAATTTTAGCAATGTGGATTTTTTTGGAAATTCTGAGAAGTAGAGGGGCGATTGGAAATTAAGGGGTCCCTACAGGTCTTTTCGATACTGGGGCCTTGGGGGGAAAGGGCGCGAAGAGTAGAAAACTGAGTTTTTAGTCGGGACTCAGAACCCCAAAACAGCAAAAGGAATTTTGTGCCGTAGTGGGAAAGGGGGGGGGTAAACAACAGAGGGGGTGCAGAAGATGGTACCCCCGAAATTGGGGGGGTGTTTTTGGGGAAAAAACGAGAAAATAAACACGGGGGAGCCCCTTTAGGCGGAGAGAGAAAATGCCATTGCATAAGGGAAACCTTCTGCCCTTTGAGGCAACGGGTTTTTACCCCTTCATTTTAAATTTTAAACCCGGCAAAAAAGGCGGGGGGGAAAAGAAGGGGGACTTTTAATTTCAATTAAGGCAAGATGGGGGTTGACTGCAAGAAAGTATTAAAAATGGTCCCCGCACCACAGACTGGGCCCCTTTGTCCCCTAATCTGCCCAAAATTTTTGCGGGTGACCAAAACCCCCAGCAATTTCTACACTGTTGCGGTTTTTAGGGAAACACCTTTCGAACTTTTAACCGATGTCCCGCAACAAGTACAGAAGGGTTGGGGGTTTTCGGCCCGTCAAAAATTAAACGAGCCCCCAAAAGGGAAGGGTAACGTTTTTCCCCCCCCCCGGGCAGGAAGGACGAAAAGGGCACTTTGAGAGGGGAAACCTGGAAATTCCAAACCGTTCCCAAAAAAGTCATTTTCCACATGACTGGAAATTTTTGTTGGACTATGGTAAGGGGCAGAATAAAAGTACCACCACAAGAATTGAGAGAAAAAATTTTTTTTTAAAAGTGGATGGGGTTTGTATTTTTTATTCGAAAGGGGAGAAAGATCATAGCTTTTGGGGACATTTTGGACAGTGAAAAAGGGGCATAACCGCTCTTTAAGCATGAAAAGAAATATCCTACCAACATGACGCAGGAGCGCTTTGCCAATACATGGACCCCCGCATAAAAGATTACCCCCAATGCACCAATTTAAAGTTTAAAAAAGTATTTTTTTAAGTGCGTTTGACGTGTATGTTTGGGGGTCTTTAAATGGACTAATCTACTTCCCAAATTCCCTTAAAAAGGGAAAAAATTCGGTCAAATTAAATGGCAAACCTGAACATACTTTTGGGGTGAAAAAAAAACTTAACCGGGGGCCACTGTACTATGGCCAAAAAAGGGAGCAGAAGAAGAATTTGGTCCCTTTAAAATAAAGAATTTTTGTCCCATTGTGTGGTCCCCAAACTGGCCCTGAAAGGGAGTGCTTGACGTGGGCCGGGCTTTTACCGAGTAAAAAAGGAAGGTAACCCAAGGGGCAACATCAGGAGAAAGACGTTGGCCCTTTTGGGGAGGGCCGGAGTTGGTCCCCCGGAAATGGGGGGGCGATTCGAAAAAATTTCCGTACCGTAGAGGGAGAAAACCAAACATAGTTTAAAGGAGAGCGGGGGTTCAACAAATCGAAGGAGTCAGTCCCAAGCCCCCGGGACCTGAACGGGGGAGGAAAAAGCCCCAGCAAAAAGGTTTCAGGGGGATCAGGAGTGTCCGAAAAGTGGGCCAAACACAAGGCAAAGGGTTTAAAAATTTGGGGGCGGAAACAAAAGGGGCCCCGGGGGGATGGGTCATGGACTAGGGGTGCCATGGTTTGGTTACTTCCTTTTCTTTTTAATTTTTTTGAAAAAAAAAAAAGAAAAAAAAAAATAAAAAAAAAAATAAAAAAAAGAAAAAAAAAGGGGGACGGGGAAAGGAAAAAAGTTCCCCCGGGGGAATTTAAAGGGCCGGAAAAACTCCCCCCCGCCCAAAAGGGGCCTCACACCCCCCATTTGCGCAGATGCAGCAAGGAACCCGGCCATACCCCACCCTTCATGGGCCCAAAAAACCCGCAATCCGGGGTAGCAACCCCCACATTTTGCCCAGCTACCTCGGTGACAAAAAAGGCGGCCGATACCGCCACAAAGCATACCCCCCTTTGGGCCCCACCCCCGGAATCCGAAAGGTTTGGGTTTCCCGAGATACAAACCCCTCCCCAAAGACACCCAAAGCTAAAACCCCAAAAAAATCCCCGGGGAGGGATCGGGACATTTCCCCGGCAATCCAATTTCCCACGGCAAACACCCAAACCTTTCCCAAAGGGGGGAAACCCCCAACCGGGAAAGGGTGGACCCCCCTTCCTTTCCCCTACCTAGGAACTAGCGCGCCTGTGGGAGAAATCCCAAAGGCCAAAAAGAGGAAGGGCAAAAAGGGAGGGGTGAGGAAGAGGAATGGAAAAAGGGAGGATGGGGAGGATGGGATAGGGGAGGGAGAAATGGGGGTAATTAGGTTCGGTCTGAGGAAGAGACCGACAGGGCTAATTCCTCAGACCAAGAGCCTCTTCACCACGCCAAGGAGCCCCCCTTGAAGAGGTTTGCAAATACAGTTACTCAGTAGGTAGTAGGTTGGTAGGAATCAACACATGGGAATGAAAAGTTGTAAAACAGCAAGCATAAGCCAGTATGCCTGTTGCAGAGTTTCCTTCTTTCTTATGTTCTTATATGAGACTATGGCAAAATGAAAATCTTTGAGATTAATGTTTCATTTGAAGACCAAGCTTTTTCAAGCCAAGAGATTACATGGTAAGTATAAGTATATACTGACATTTCTTCTTTTTCGATCACCCTTGCCTCTGTGGAAGACGGCCAATGTGTTAAAAAAAAGTACATACTGTATAGTCAGGAGAGCAAGTGACAAGGAGGCTTTACTGAAAGGCAATAAGTAATTGTTTTCCTTAATCTATTACTTACCACAAGGTAGACAAGGTTGGTATCAGCATCATACATAGGGAACATCACACCATTAGATGAATCTAGCTCCACCATGGTGATGGGGTCATCTAGATGACCGGGAGCCCGTAATGAATACTGGCGCTCAATCGCTTGCTGAACCCTGTTGTAAATACCAGTCCATTGCGGAGGAAGATGGCCGTGTGGCCTTACTACCTTCATGTGATGTTGCTTCCTGGAGAAATAAGAGAGCATGATAAGAAGCTGGAGAAAGTGCAGAGGTATGCAACAAGACTAGTTCTAGAACTAAGGGGCATGAGTTACAGAGAAAAGCTAATGGAATCAAATCTAACGACATTACAGGACTCAAGAACCAGGGAGACATGATAAAGTACAAAATACTTAGGGGAATTGATAGGATAGGCAGGGATAGGCCGAGAGGAGAGACAGGTTACCCTGGGGCACAGGTGGAAGTTACAGAAACATTTGAACCACAAAGCTGTCAGGAAGTACTTCTTTGGTCTCAGGGTGGTTGGGAAGTGGAATGACCTCAACAAAGAAGTGAAGGCCGATTACATACACAGTATATGGAAGGTACAGGACCAAGATGAGATAAAAAGAAGACAAAGAAGTTATCACACTTGTAGATTCATAGTCAAAGGTGGGATCACAAAGCTGGAGCTCACCCATTGCAAATAAAATTAATGAAAAATATAAGTGTTGAATATGAAAACTCCAGCAAACCTTACTGTAATTACGCTAAAAAATGTTCCAACAATAAAATAACATTTACCTCAAACACTTCACCATCTCTTGGATTAATTATCCTTATTTTCTTGTCCTTGCAAGTGGTTAAGAGCAGAGAGCCATCCCAGTTGAAGCAGCAGGAGTAAATGATGTCTGGATGGACATCAATGGTAGTGAGTGGATCTCCGCACCCAACATTCCAAATAACAACGATATTGTCGGACCCGGCAGAGAGAAGGATATTATTGGCTGTGGGGTGCCATACAACCATTCCAACACGTCGTTGATGGTACATCAGATCAACCACTGGCTCTGTCATAGTCCTGCAATTATCAATATTAGTCGTTTCACTTGAAAGAATTGACAGCAAACTGTTCTTTAATAATATTATTTGCTATACAGGCTCTCCTCACTTAACAATGGAGTTCTGTTCCTAAGACCACATTGGTAAACAAATTCGTCACTAAGTGAGGAGCATACTATAATGGTAGTCAGTTTGTGTCAACCATCTTTGATATTGTTTTAATGTCACCTTTGCACCATTTATAACATTTCTGGAATATTTTGAAATGTTTGTACAGTAGTGTACTGTATATTGTAATCAGCTCTAATATACATTATTTAGGTATGCATATTCGTCAGAGAGTCTGTCATAAGTTCAAGTCGTTGGTAAATGAGTTTGTCGCTAAGTGAGGAGAGGCTGTATTACAGTATTTTTACAGTATTACTTATTAATAGTGAAGGATTGTGCTGAGCTACTACATTTTTAAATAATGTTTACAAAAATACAATGTTTTGGAAAAACTTATTTAAAAGATTTCATTCTATTTTGATGTGCAGCAGCAGCAGCAAGTAGACAACATAGTGGACCCCCAAGTTTCATGATTAATCCATTCCAAGGAGTCTGCTGAATGGTGAAATTCACGATTGGTGAAACCATTTTCCTCAAAAGAAATATGTACCCAAAAGTATTAACAAAAAATATTCTTTTTAAAGATTAAGTATAGATTTACATACAGAAAGCAATGGCAAATGAATATAAAGCACTAATAAAATGGATAAATGAACATTAACATCACACTTACCTTTACTGAACTCTTGTTGGTGTATGGCAGACAGGTAGGAGGGGAGAGGGAGGCAAGAGGGACGCGAGTTTATTGTGCTAATATCATTATGCTAATATCTCTACGGCTTATTTATCTAACTTAATTCATCTAATATGACATAATAAACAATATTAATAATAAAGAAACATGATATATACTCTAGAACGAATAAAATATGTCATAACACATGTGAGGCGTAAGTGTTGGTGGTGGTGGTGTTGGGTATATAAGGGCCACTGAGAGAAACCGTACATATTAGTAGTGGTGGAGGCAGCAGCAGAAGCTTTAATTTATAAATAAGAAATATTTACACTTACCTTGGAGGAGATGTTAGTTTAATTAGTTTGATGGAGGAGATGCTGGCAGAGGTTTAGAGTGGAAGATAGCAGGGCAGTGTATGTTCAGTGGCCCTATACACCTCCAACAACATTGGAGAGTTACTTTCGTGTCTTTTTCTATCGCTTAATTGCTTAACTTACTTGCTACACTGTTAATGATACAGTTTATTGCTGGCTGGCGCTATAGCCTTTATCGATACCTGCTGCTTTAGTATCATACATATCGCAGAATCACTGAATCACTGAAGAAGGCACATTCTCCCCTCTTTCTTCCTCCTCCACTTTGGTACTTTGCTACGAGCTTTTTCTTGAATTCTATCGTGTTTCTTTCCTTCTTTACCAAAGGCCTGGCACTAGGAGCTTTCTTTGGGCTCATGGTGGCTTATTTAGCAGTTGCAAGCACAAAAAACAATGGATTATTATGAAATGTATCGTATGAACCCGTGGGGTGATGGTCACTCGCTGATAAACAATGGCACACTTAGTGTGGATGGTGCGGGAGACTGGCTCTAGTGTGCATGCTGACGCTGGGATGCCGCACCAACGCATACCAGACGGTTGCCGAATCATGAGGCCAATCATGAACCGCGAGGCTATATTTTGCTGAAAAAGTTGCCTAAAGTCGGATTTCACGAAAGTCGCAGCTGCCGAAAGGCAGTAGTCCACTGGATATTAGGAAAAGTAAATGAGGTAAATATAGGAGTTTTAGTAGTGTATGTGACTGAGGAATATTATTCTGTAGATCATGTCTCAAGTATTATGATACTAAAAACATTTTAACATCTTCAGCAAAACAAAATGAAAAGAATATATAAAATTAAGGAACATTCTTAAATTTTTACAATAAAATGAAACAAAGTGTTGGAAGGAAAGTGAGTTATTTCTGACAAATATTTATTAGGAAAACCAGTGAATTGTGCATTACTGCTTACTGTAGGTAGATAAAGTGACAATGTAACAAAACAGTGCTTAGAAAATAGGAATCATAAGGAGATGTATTTTCTGAGAACAGAGGAGTAGAAAATGGATACACAAGATTAGGATATTTTACAGGATACAAATGACTAAAGATGAGTGCAGTAGTATCTTCATATGCAAGAATTCTAAGGAAGAAGCCAAGACTTGTATGCAGGAAACAACATGAGCCACCCTCCTTGACATGACATATACACTAAGAAATTAGAAAATGATCAGATGAATACAAGTTACAAGATCCATAAACTACACCATCAAGGACAACATGCTATTTACAAAGTTTGTGCTTTAAAATCATTTAAATACCCTCAAACCAATATATCTGTACTTACATGTGCATGCCTTTCCACAGAAGCGAAAGCAATGAAATAAATATTCACAACAACTTAGGATTTGAGTGAACAAAAATTATCAGATTTTCCTTAAATAAACATTTTTCATCAATTATTATTACTAAATAATTCATAACCTTTAAGTGCTTAAGATGTGTCTCATTACCAATTAAGTGTTTTGTATTCTTAAGATATGCAGAACGTTAAGATATGCAGAACGTTAAGATATGCAGAACCAGACAACTGATCAACACAGCTATTACTTAAGACTGTTTACCAGGTGACTGTTTCTACCTTAGTATGCAAGGCAAATGTGCTGTATCAAACCAAAAGCCAAATTACTCCATTCACACGAATATCATAACAATCTGTATACTTACGTCACCAGACCAAAGTCGGGAATTTGCCAGATTTTGACCACACAGTCTTCTGAGCCTGAGGCGATAACATTATCGTTGAAGGGATCCCAAGCTATGTCAAGGACTGGCCCCTTGTGCCCACCCACCAGTGGATGGTCAGGTGGGATACGACCAGCCTGCAGAAATCAATTATCACTTAAAATCCATTAATTGCAATGGAAGAAAGAAATTAAAATTAAATAACTTTTACTGCTGATAAAATAGGGATATAAACTTGATTCCACTGGTGCAACTCATAAAGGGGTGTATAAACAAATAAAAAATTCTCATGAATACTAGAATTGAAATAAGAAAAAATGGTACGATGAATTTTTAGTTAAGGCAAATAACATAGCAATAACTTACAAATATATTTAGTTATAAGTAGATTGGTTAGAAAATAAAATAAAATAAAACAAAATCTTTTACACAAAACATATTATTCAAATAAAACTAGTTAATATTTTTCTTAGAAAACCATTTTAAAATGTGTTAATAGAAAAGTAAATACAATAACTATTATAGCAGTAAAATGATAAAAGTAGGTTAAAAATAAAGACATATTCCATATATGACCCAGCAGAAAGGTGTATCATTTGATCACAAAACTTGTGTCTATTACTTCCATACACAGGATTACCAAGAGCTCCTTAAAGTACATCACAGCAATGCATTCCTGGAGGGTGTTCTCAGTATTGTACCTCAACTAAGTGGAAAACAGCTAGCTTCTGATTTTTAAAGTCCCTCTAACACCAAATGATATATACCAGTAGGTAATCACCATAATTTTAGTACCAAATGGATATGATAAATTATATAAAGCTAACCAATACAACAATCTTGCAAATCAATGACAAAGTTTCAGATCTACTAAATATATTAACCCTTTCAGGGTCCCCAGGCCCTCTCTGAGACTTGTTCTCAGGGTCACGAAATTTAAAAAAAAAATTATTTTTGCTTACGAAAAGATAGAGAATCGTTTCCCGATCATAATGACACCAAAAGTATGAAATTTGATGGAAAACTTACGGAATTATGCTCTTGCGAAGTTAGCGGTCTCGACGATGTTTACGCATCGGCGATTTTGCCCAATTTGAGCCCTATTTTGGGTCAATTACACTGTACTAGTCGAAAAAAAATCATGAATATTTTGCTTAGAACCCCATTTTTTTCTATAAAATGATGCAAGAAACCACCCATTTACCGTTTTCAACACCCAATATAGTGGTCAAAAATTTAGCAATTTTGCCAATTTCACACAAATTTCAAAGATGCCAATTTCCCAATAGGTCCAGAAAAACAAGAAAGACTTTCCCGGGCACTAAAATGACATTTCCTCTGTTCATTAATACGTCCCCCCAAAGCCCCTCTTACATTCTTTTGCTTTCCCTTTGAATTTTTATTCTCAAAATAAATAGAAGTTTACTGTTATGCAGACGAATGCATTAGTGTAAAAAATGGTATAAATAATATCGGCGCACTTTTGAAAGATTTAGGCTCACCAGTTTTACGTGTATTGGACGTTAGCATGATTTGTTTACTTTTGAACTTTGGTAAAAATCGAACATTCTGTTACTTTGAGCTCAATTTCAAGGTACTTTTCATTGTAAAATCAGTCAAAATCATCTCAATTTCTGTAATATGTCTTCCATTCTATAGAATGAGACCAGAAAAACTAGAATACAACAATAAATACCATACAAAAATACAGTGCAAAGTCGCTGTTTTAATCCAAAAACACGGTCAAAGTTTTTTTTTCTCATTATGCACTGTGTGCTGCAGGATTTTTTTTTATACTGCACACACTGACCACATAGACCCATTCTTTCATATGTAGGCTTACCAGCTTTCTCTCACTAGATTTGAGGGCGCTAGAATTTAGGCGTACTAGTACGTCAAAAACCCTGGTGCGTAAGCCATACTAATACGGCCGAAACCCTAAAAGGGTTAACATGCAAGAGGAAAATATTGAGATGTAACCCTTGGTAGTGCATGATGTACAGATACTGTTGTTTGTTTATCCTACATTACAGTGACTGTTAGTGATATACACACTTTAAAGGGTCAAGACAGATCAGGAAGGCCAAAGTGTTCCTACCGACTATCTCCGTGCTAACTTACCGTTGACGCCTTCTTCGATAAATATGTCTGTAAAACATTCAACATCTTACAATATTGGCACTAGGTCTATTGAACCTCATTATAATTAAACTAATTATCATTACTTATCATTTTAATCTAACAACAAAAAAAAAAAAGATTAATCTAGTACATTAGAATTCCAAGCAACTGCCACTCTTCATTCCAGGATTATTTCATCAGTAAATGAGTATAGTATTGTTTCTCTTCAAGCAGTTTTCACTCTTCAATCTAGGATTACTTTATTAACTATATGAGTAGTGTAATTGTTTCTCTATTTTTATTATATTTCCTGAAATTAATTAATACAAATTCTAATACAAAAATCTACACTCTAAACTCACTTACCAAGATTCCCTTTCTATCTGGTTCCCAAATACCTTCCTGGAATTGCATCAATTATATCTTATTTACAACAACCAAAATATTTATTAATCCCCAGTAATTATCACAGGAGTGGACCTATTATATTTAATATTTAATCAAAATGCTACAATAAAACTAAAATCAAATCTCCATTCCCCAAGGAGCTCAAGACTCAGAAGTTGGCACAACTTTAATAAATAACAGCATCAGTTTTAGACTATGACTACTGCTGTAAAACACACTCCATCTTAGACTTAGATACTGGTTCTATCCTACCTTCACCTACATTAAAGACAGTGATTGGAGGTTACCACACACTATTTTAGGTAATGTCAGCCACCTGGGCTAAATATAGACATGCTGCAGAACCGAGACTTAGGGAATGCTGGCTTGTACGTTATGGGATATTTGGGCTCCTCAGCACTATTTTTAAAGCAAAGCACTTCTGCGTAGGTTTCCTGTTAAGAGTTGTTCATCGAAATGAATATTTTTCATCATCTAATATTCATAGTGTTCTCATCAATCACTTTCTAGTAAAGTCAATTTTGACATCACAGGCCTTAAAATATTCATATGTTATAGTGTACTTAAATTTACCAGCACTAAAATAGTATATGGAATCAATAAAAATGTAAATATTAAAATATTTTGTCATGAATAAGAAAATGTTAACTAAATTATGGGTAAACAATGAAGAAAATTGTTCACTAACAGAAAAAGTAATTTTCTTATATGAATGATGTTTTCAGTGCCTCCTTAATTAATTTTCTTTTAGGTTCCCTAGAACCCAAACTTCCACAAGGTATTTAGCAAAATTGACAGGACACAAATTCCTGTACATTACACCAGTGTAGTGACTTTGCTATTTTTTTTTTTTCAACAAGTCTGCTGTCCCCCACCGAGGCAGGGTGACCCAAAAGGAAAGAAAATCCCCAAAAAGAAAATACTTTCGTCATCATTCAACACTTTCATCTCACTCGTACATAATCACTGTTTTGCATAGATGCCCAGATACAACAGTTTAGAAGCATATATAGAGATATATAATATATCCCTCCAAACTGCCAATATCCCAAACCCTTCCTTTAAAGTGCAGGCATTGTACGTACTTCCCATTTCCAGTACTCAAGTCCGACTATATAAAAATAACTGGTTTCCCTGAATCCCTTCACTAAATATTACCCTGCTCACACTACAACAGCTCATCAGGTCCCAAAAACCATTTGTCTCCATTCATTCCTATCTAACAGGCCCACACATGCTTGCTGGAAGTCCAAGCCCCACGCCCACAAAACCTCATTTGCCTCCCCTCCCTCCAACCTTTTCAAGGACAACCCCTATCCCACCTTCCTTCCTCCTACAGATTCATATGCTCTCAAAGTCATTCTACTTTGATTCATTCTCTTTAAATGACCAAACCACCTCAACAACCCCTCTTCAGCCTTCTGACTAATACTTTTATTAACTCCACACCTTCTCCTAATTTCCACACTCCAAATTCTCTGCATAATATTTACACCACACATTGCCCTTAGACACAACATCTCCGCTGCCTCCAACTGCCTCCTTGCTGCAGCATTTACAACCCAAGCTTCACTCATATAAGTGTGTTGGTACCACTATACTTTCATGCATTCCCTTCTTTGCCTCCATAGATAATGTTTTTTTTTGTCCCCACATATACTCCAATGCACCACTCACCTTTTTTCCTTCATCAATTCTATGGTTAACCTCATCCTTCATAAACCCATCTGCTGACACGTCAACTCCCAAATATCTGAAAACATTCACTTTTTCCATTCTCCCTCTCTCCAATGTGATATCCAATTTTTCTTTATCTAAATCATTCAACACCCTCATCATCTTACTCTTATCTATGTTCACTTTCAACTTTCTACCAACTTTGCTATATGGTAATGTATTGTAGAAATGTTGGGTGCCAAAGGAATCATGGAGCTCTGATTTTTCCATATTCCACTAGCTACTACAAAGTGATTTTTCTTAAATTATTGACAAACCCCCCACATCATACACAAAAATTCACATCATTAATTATTCCTTGCCCTACTTTCACTATTGTGTAATTTTAGCAACAAAACCACCATCTAACATAAGACTCAAAAACATTTTTAATAAACACAAAAGTGAACATTAAGTAGGTATACATATTCTTGTGTACATCTTTTATTACAATGAATAGGAGCTATACTAGACTTTTTTGCCCATTATTTGTTTATAGCAATAACAAGCTAGAACATTTTCTTGCTTATGCTCTAGCAGAATCAAGCATAAAAAAGGACATAGAAGGAATTTTTTCATCCTATACATGTCATGAGGCTCTTTGCAAACACAGCAATCAACAAAATCTCATACATATTTGTATGGTAAAATATACTTTAGTTAGTGATCTTGATCCAAGGATTAAGTGCCCTAAAGCATAAACTTACTGCAAAACAAATATTAATACCTGAATGATATACAACTTAAAAACCTGTGAATTATAAATTTATCTATTCATAACATATGGTGGGCATCTAGAAAATCAAGTGCCAGATGTATGACAGTGTTTCTGTTTGGGAGGGCCTACCTGGCCCTGTGCCACATCCATTCCCTTGCACAGTCACCTACAGAGACTAAACCTGCAACATCTTCTCTAATACCCACCAAATGGATACAATCTAATGCCAGGATTATCCTCTTGGGTCAGTGAAATGCATCAACCCTCCTCAGATAACATAACTTGGTAGTGCAAATAAATATAAAATTAAGTTAATGTCTCTGTGAATGTTGGCATGAGAAGGCATGACATCAGCTTCAGGAGGGATACATGCTACATCTCACGTGTGTTTCTCTAGCCATCTCTACATTTTCAATTTCATTATAGCATAATTGACATCAAATATTTAATATCCTTTTATAATATTTTATTTATGTGGTTAGGATGTTTCCTCTTTCCTCTAATCAGCCCCCCTCCCCCCTCCAAAAAAAAAAGACATCTAATGCTTTCAGCCTGTCTTAATAACTCATTTTTAAAACTTGGAGCCATTCTATAGCTCATCTTTTGAGATTTTTTTCTCCTTGTCAATACATCTTCAGGTGTGGACACCATATCACTTCTACATATTCTAATCTTGGTCAAACATACATTGCAAACAGCTTCTTTTTTTAGCATTTCTTCATCAGTATAAGTCTTGGAAGATGGTGCAAAAGACCTCTATTGAAAATTAAAGACAGAAAGAGCATACTAAGATTTAACTCAATAAGTGTAAAGGGACAGACCTTTCAACATACTCCCTACATACATAAGAGGAATTTAACAGACCCCTAGCTATCTTCAAGAGGAAAGTTATCGATGTAGCTGACATAGTCTGCTGCATCAACGGACTATCAGACATGAACGAATATCCAATGCAATGGACTTAAGTCAGCTACACTGATGGCACTACCAGACACACTAACATATGTACTAAGAGTAAGCTTAAGTGCTGTATTACAAAACAGTCCAGTAGATTAAGTACTGCGCCTGAAAATTAAAGTGTTAAAAGTATGTACAGTAAAGTCATTTTTCTTATTTTTTCTGTGGATAGATGAGCATACAATTAGATACCCATGATTCTAAGAATGTCAGATACCATTTGCCTTGTTACATCATATACATACCTCTCACATACCTGAACCACTGACACACTAGACTCTGTCTTCCTATTAATTCAAGTTTCTGCTCAACACTCGAATTCATACACTACTACTTGGCATCAACACGCTTCACAGGCCACTGTTAACCCTTTCACTGCCAGCAATCCCCCAAATTGAAATCCCCTACCGTCACTTTTTAACACATCAGCCATTTCCCACCAAGGCAGGGTGACATGAAAAAGAACCACCACCACCATCACCACTTGCTTCATCACTGTTTTGCCAGAGGCATACAGATACTATAATTCAAAAACTGCAACATATCTCCATCCCTCCTTCAGAGTGCAGGCACTGTACTTCCCACCTCTAGGACTTAAGTCCTGCTAACCGGTTTCCTTGAATCTCTTCGTAAATGTTACCTTGCTCACACTCCAACAACACGTCAAGTCAAAAAAACCATTTGCCTCCACTTGTTCCTAATACACTTACTAATGCTTCCTGGAAGTCTAAGCCCCTCGCACACTAAACCTCATTTACTCCCTCCCTCTAACCTTTCTTAGGACGACTCTTACCCTGCCTTGCTCCCAAATTTGGAGGTTGGGGACCATTTTAATTTAGCAACAGCGATTTTGTCAAATTTGAGATCTATTTTAGGTCAATTCCAGTGCTAAAACTGACTCAATTCCTGGTTATTTTGCCTTCCATACTATCCATAGATCACAAGAAACTCTCCATTCCACCATCAGAACTAACCTACTAAGAGCTCAGAGGTCAGTAATTTAGCTAATTTTACCTTATTTTCAACAAATTCAAATTTAAAAACAGATTCTAAAACACTGTAGGCCTTTCAGCCACTAAAGCAACCTTCCCTCTATTCATTAATCTTGTCCCCAGGCCTCTCCTATCACACAAAAATTCAAAATTTTTCTCTATTTCTCGGATAATAAACCATAAAAAACTCTAATGCATCTTCTTGGAAAATACTGTACTGTATTGTACTGCATGAAAGTTTGTATCTTCAATTCCCTTTTAAAACATTCACAGAAAAAAAGTCACACTTTATATTACAGTACACTTTAATTTATATCAACATCTAATTTTTAATTCCAAAAAATTAGCCTGTACAATTAAATACATACAGCAACAAATACTTAAAGTCTGTATTTTTCCAGTAAAAAAAAAAAAATAACATTAATGATGCATATACCATAAACGTATACATGACTGTAAATACATAAGTAGATTAAATACCTTGTTAACTTTGGTGAGGGGAAGTACAATAAAAGCGCCACCTCCACCAGATTCAACTATAATGGCACAAAACTTTGGATTAACGGCACAGAACGTAGAGTCCCATGACGATTTGCTAACTCGTATATTATCGAAGCACTGTTCCCTCTTTAAACATGTGCCATATACATGACGGAACTTGCTCTGTCGGACCAGTCGGAATGACATCTGGAAAAAGAAAAGACATATTAATTATAGTTTAGTCTCAAACACTACTAATTTGAGAACATTGTGGCCAGGACCTTTTTTTACATTACAAATTTTTCTAAATGAATGACACTAAAAACTCACAGGAAAATTGCAATAAAATATACTTAACCCTTTCAGGGTCGAGAGGTCCTCTCCTAAACTTGTTCTCAGGGTCGAAAATTTTTCAGAAAAAAAAAAAATCTTATGAAATGATAGAGAATCTTTTTCCGATCATAATGACACCAAAAGTATGAAATTTTATAGAAAACTTACGAAATTATGCTCTCGCGAAGTTAGTGGTCTCGATGATGTTTACGCATCGGCGATTTCGCCCACTTTGAGCCCTATTTTTGGCCAATTCCAGGGTACTAGTCGACAAAAATCATAACTATTTCGCTAGAATTCCATTTTTTCTATCGAATGAGTACAAGAAACCACCCATTTACCAACTTCAACTATCCAATCAAGTGGTCAGAAATTGGCACTTTTGCCAATTTCACACAAATTTCAAAAGATGCCAATTTCCAAATAGGGTCCAGAATAAACAAGACAGACATTCCTGGCACTAAAATAACATTTCCTCTGTTCATTAGTCATGCATACTAATACGTCAATAACCCTGGTGCGTAAGACGTACTAGTACGTCGGAAACCCTGAAAGGGTTAAGAATAAAACTATGGCTGGTCATGTGCCAGCTCATGGATTACACTAGCATGGCTGGCGACCACATTAGCTTACAGGTCAATGTATTGGTGACCCTTAACATCAATACAGCTTGTTTTGGTAACACAAAGTTTCTCAAGCCAATCTATTCCCTATATATTTACCATGCGACCTCCATTTAACAAACTCATTTGACAAAAATATTTAACTTTTGTTAAATACCTCAGGTATCAGTATGGCCCCTTAAGCAAAAAGCAACCCAAATCGAAAAAATTATGATATGCTAACGGAATTTTGTAGTAAAGGATGGGTATTCCCAGCTTCTGAATTCGCTGGGTCATCAAGCAACTTATTTTTTTTTTTATTATTATCACACTGGCCGATTCCCACCAAGGCAGGGTGGCCCGAAAAAGAAAAACTTTCACCATCATTCACTCCATCACTGTCTTGCCAGAAGGGTGCTTTACACTACAGTTTTTAAACTGCAACATTAACACCCCTCCTTCAGAGTGCAGGCACCGCACTTCCCATCTCCAGGACTCAAGTCCAGCCTGCCGGTTTCCCTGAACCCCTTCATAAATGTTACTTTGCTCACACTCCAACAGCACATCAAGTATTAAAAACCATTCGTCTCCATTCACTCCTATCAAACACGCTCACACACGCCTGCTGGAAGTCCAAGCCCCTCGCACACAAAACCTCCTTTACCCCCTCCCTCCAACCTTTCCTAGGCCGACCCCTACCCCGCCTTCCTTCCACTACAGACTGATACACTCTTGAAGTCATTCTGTTTCGCTCCATTCTCTCTACATGTCCGAACCACCTCAACAACCCTTCCTCAGCCCTCTGGACAACAGTTTTGGTAATCCTGCACCTCCTCCTAACTTCCAAACTACGAATTCTCTGCATTATATTCACACCACACATTGCTCTCAGACATGACATCTCCACTGCCTCCAGCCTTCTCCTCACTGCAACATTCATCACCCATGCTTCACACCCATATAAGAGTGTTGGTAAAACTATACTCTCATACATTCCCCTCTTTGCCTCCAAGGACAAAGTTCTTTGTCTCCACAGACTCCTAAGTGCACCACTCACCCTTTTCCCCTCATCAATTCTATGATTCACCTCATCCTTCATAGACCCATCCGCTGACATGTCCACTCCCAAATATCTGAATACATTCACCTCCTCCATACTCTCTCCCTCCGATCTGATATCCAATCTTTCATCACCTAATATTTTTGTTATCCTCATAACCTTACTCTTTCCTGTATTCACTTTTAATTTTCTTCTTTTGCACACCCTACCAAATTCATCCACCAATCTCTGCAACTTCTCTTCAGAATCTCCCAAGAGCACAGTGTCATCAGCAAAGAGCAACTGTGACAACTCCCACTTTATGTGTGATTCTTTATCTTTTAACTCCACGCTTCTTGTCAAGACCCTCGCATTTACTTCTCTTACAACCCCACCTATAAATATATTAAACAACCACGGTGACATCACACATCCTTGTCTAAGGCCTACTTTTACTGGGAAATAATTTCCCTCTTTCCTATGTACTCTAACTTGAGCCTCACTATCCTCGTAAAAACTCTTCACTGCTTTCAGTAATCTACCTCCTACGCCATACACCTGCAACATCTGCCACATTGCCCCCCTATCCACCCTGTCATACGCCTTTTCCAAATCCATAAATGCCACAAAGACCTCTTTAGCCTTATCTAAATACTGTTCACTTATATGTTTCACTGTAAACACCTGGTCCACACACCCCCTACCTTTCCTAAAGCCTCCTTGTTCATCTGCCATCCTATTCTCCGTTTTACTTTTAATTCTTTCATAAAAACTCTACCATACACTTTACCGGGTATACTCAACAACTTATCCCCCTAAAATTTTTTGCACTCTTTTTGTCCCCTTTCCCTTTATAATCGGGAGTGTTGATACAGAAAATACTCTAAAAAGCAGTTGCCAGCCCAAACAAAAAAATAACAAAAAAAATGGGGTTGAAAAAGCAATCAAGGGACTGGAATTAAACATGCACACTCCAAAATGAATCCCTTTGATTTAAAGCACAAACCCTGAAAAAGATAAGTTGTCTGTTGCGTAAAATAAACGCCCAACATTCCTAGGCTAACCAGCACAGTGCAAAAAAACGCTATCAGGAATACAGAACCATACAAGTCATCGTGCAAAACAAAAAATCAAAGAAACCTTTTGTTGGGAAAAAACCAGGAAGTAAACACAGTATATGACCACTTCATTCATACTAAAAAAAAGGCCAATTAAATCAAAATTTCAAAAAAAAAGGGATGTACATAAATGGTGTCTAAAAAAAAAACGTAAAAACCTTTCTTTTCAGGCTGAAAACTTAACGGAAACAAAAAATACTCATGTTTCCCCGGAGTGGAAATTACTAGTAAGGAAAACATCAACAGGAAACAATATACCCTCAAACAAACATGATTCTCTCCCTTTCCCTTAAAAAAACTGCATTTCTGTAACAGTTTAAATAGTGCCCTTAATACATAAACGTGGGGTGATATAGTGTACGTTATATCATATTGTACATTTTATTTTTATTTTTTTATACTATAATGCCAACTATTCCAATTCTATAACTTTCTTATGCTATTAATTGCTCAAAATTTTTAAAATTTAAAAAAAAAAGTCAAATCTTCCCCAAAATTAAAATTTTCATTTTTTTTTACCGTCCTTTAATTTTTTTTATCCTATTTTTTTTTTCCCATTTTACTTTGTATTAAATTAGTGTATATTAAATTTATTTTTTTTGCAAGCCCAAAAACATTTTTGCTGTAGTACCAATCCCTCATTTTTTTTTTTTTTATTGTGCAATAAACTGCTAATTTTTTTAATTCAATCAGATCTTACCCCTAAACCAAATTATTTCATAGGCCATCTGTCCTTTAACTTTGTTTCCATTATTTTAATTTTAGCCCCTTATTATTTTCTCCTTTATTTTAGCTTTTTAATAACTACCCTAGCTTATCATTCAAAATTGTTAAAATAATCAAGGTTTTTCTCAGGTGCTAAAAGAAACAGTTAAAAAATTTTGGCATTATTTTCCCAAGCTCATTTTTTTTTATAGTCTACTACTATATTTTCCCCAAGCTCCTTATTTGTTATCATTTATTTTGTCTAGCCCCTTTTATATTGTCTTTTTTATTTTAGCTTAAAAAAAAAAAAAAAAAAATCCTTTAGCTCATTATTTTACTTTTTTAAAATAATTCAGGTGCTATTTTTTAGTTTAAGACTTTTTTCTTTTTTTTTATATTAATTCTAACTATAGTTCCTAAAAAATCTTATGATTAAAGCATTGATCCAGATACCAACCTCTTATTTAATTACTTAAATGAATAAAAACAGTTACTGAAAATTACTCCTGCAAACAATCAAGGCCTTCTCGTCCCAAACAACAACATAACTATTTTTAATACAATTCGATCTTTAAGCAAGCATTACATGACCCATGCTTACAAATTTCCCTTACATGCAAATGCCCATCATTACACTAACTGAAACCTGGCTAAACCCTGATATACAGATTTTTTTTACCTTTCCTGGTTACAAGCCATAACACTGTAGGCCAGACAAAAGGGGGTGGCCAGCCTTTTCTACTCAACCAACTAGAATGTTCACTAATACTTGCCAAGAGATGAACGGGGGAAATATAAACCCAAATTCAAATAAAAATCCTACAAAAACCTCTCACTTTGATAAACATCTACAGAGTTCCACAGTAAAAACTTACCCAAATTTTAGTCAAACCTGGGAAGTAGTAACGTGCACGCATAAACAAAGATCACTTCTACTTAGGTGACTTCAATATAAACTCCTGCAAACCCAGGCCCCACGTTCTGAATTCACAAAACCAATGAGTAACTGTATGTTGTACCAACAGTAAAAAAAACCTACAAGATTTTACAGGACTTGTTTCCCTACTTGCCACATCTGGACCAACCCCTTTCCCCCTTTTAAAAATCAGGATTTTACAAAAAAACCAAAAGACCACTACCCTACTTTCCTCAAAAATCTTGGTAAATTACCCAAGACACTACTAAAAGTCACCTTCAGACTTCAAAATGGGGCATTAAAACTTCACAACGCATTAGCAAACATTGATTGGCCCCCACTGAGCTAGAAATCTTTAAAATATTGACGAAGTATTAATAATTTTTCTAAAAAGACTAATACCTCTATAAACAAGCCTCCCCTAAAAAACTAACAGGACAGAAAAGGGATGAACGTCCCGGCTAACCCCACATTCCAAATCATAAATAAAAAAA